TTGTTTTTTTACTTCAAAATAAGATATGTGCAGTGTGCATAGGAATTTGCTCATAGTTTTTTTTAAACTATAGTCCGGCCCTCCAATGGGTCTGAGGGACAGTGAGCTGGCCCCCTGTTAAAAAAGTTTGAGGACCCCTGGTCTATACTAAGAAGAAGACAGTCTTACATTCTGTGAAAATGGAAAATTTGTGAATTCATGAATTGTCGACATTTCATATGTCATCTAATTTGATATAAAAAATTTTTCGATAGAGGTTATCAAGCCAAGTTAGCATGAGGAGTCTGGGGTGCAATGGGGTTAAATGACGTATCCAAAGTCACAAAGCTGGTGGAGTAAAAAGAGTCAAATAAAGGTATTCGGATTTCTCACAGGACTTCAGGCTCTTATAATTAATTCTCTAACTTTATCCTCCAAGAAGCCTGGTGGCATCCTGAGTTATCCTTTGGGCTGCTAACTTCAAGGTCAGCAGTTTGAATCCACTAGCTGCTCTCTACTCCTGTAAGTAGTTACAGGCTCAGAAACCCATGGGGGCAGTTATACCATGTCGTTTTGGGTGGCTATGAATCGGCCATCGGTTAACTTTAGCCTAACTATATTTCCCTACTCATTCCAGCCACTCCAAAGCATCATTTACAAGATTATTTTTATTGGCCGATGCTTTAATTTTAAATCATTACACTTACTCTTTACGTCTCTGCAATGGCACTATGAATGAACACACGTGTGTATAAAATATCAATACTTCCTTTTGCAATATACAAATAAACATTTTCTATTTCACTTCCAAAACCATGAAAATCCCATTCTCGCAAAAACAGCCTTTGCTTGAGGTTTGCGCCTTATTGTTCCCTTATCTGTTTAATTCTGTCTCGGGAGCCCGTCCTTCTCCTGCCCACACTTGGCACAGTCGGTGAGTACAGTTCCTCTGTTCCTGCTGCTCCCCATTCCCGCTGCCTCTAACGGTGTCAGTTTGAAAGAGAAAACTATTTTAATTTCTTGTAAATTCTATTTTAAAGGAATATAATGGTCTGTACTGCTTTTAGTACTGTCAAAAATAATTTAACATCCAGTTGCCATTACGTGCCTTTTATGGAATCTATGTACAATTTTTGGTGGAAACTTAATATTATTACGTGATTAAAAAACAAAATTACCTTAGCATGATACTAATAACATATAAACTAGGGACAAATCATACTACAATATTAAAATAAAGAACTCACATTGAATCCACAAGTTTCCTAACTAGAGCAATGATGTTCATTCTTCTTGGGTTTTCCTCGTGTTTCTCTCTCTTTTGTTCCACTTTTGCAAATGCTACCTCCGGTGAATAAGAATATATGGGAATTTCTTCCTTCCCTACAATAAATCTAGGAAGGAAAAAAAAGAGAGAGCACAATATAAGGTACTTTTCATTTTTATAAGTGAAAATTCAATAAAGAAAAAATATATATTGTTTATAGACAAATACATTTTGGAGCGTCATCACTTGAAACAGTATTTTCACCACTTACAGAAAATCAAATCATTCCTTGAACAAACAAAAAAAACTGTCTTTCAAAATCTGCATTCTTAGAATTTAAGTTAGTAAAATCATGTTTTTCACAATATAAGGATTTTGAAGGAAAATTAACCAAGTAAAACATAGTAGGGCACTTGATGATATACCCTTAATATAGGTTGTCATTTTCCTAATGTTTTATATATCTAAAGTTGTACAATAGAATTAAGTGTACTATCAACTTGGATCTACCAGGCAATCACAAAAGTTCTATTTTTCACTAAATTCTGTACAGTTACAATTGAATGGGTTCCTCGTTCTACCCCTCTACATTTACACCTCACAGAACTTTGAATTATAAAACAGTTAAAATGCAGTAAAAGATCATCTATACAAGGAAATGGAAACATTAAGAATGAAATATTGGAGAGGTCAATCTTAAATGTAGTTTCAAATTATTTGATTTTAAAAATCATAAACGTCAAATCCTTCCAATTGACTTATTTCTGTTCAAACCAATAAACAGCAACAAAAAAAGTATCTAGGAGAAGACACCATCCCCTTTTATATTAAAACAATTATATATTTTCCAACGATAATGTTACCACCCATAGATACCACACCAATATTATCATAGTTTTTATTATTACTGCTAGTAGTTTTACAATAGGATTCATTGCTCTTATAAAAAATAAGCTTTCATAAAGAAATTCCACATTTTGAGTTTTCACTAAACATTATAAAATATAGATAAAATACAGATTCAATAAACTTACACTAAAATACCAGAACGTGGACTTATGAGAAACATAATATAAAAATGTTTAAACTCTGAAAAGAGAAAAAGCCAAGCTGTCGATATCAACAACTGCAAACCAAATGCAATGCTTAACTTGTTAAACATTGTCTAGGTTGACAAATTATGGGGAGTTTGCAAAGGGACTCTTGTCACCACAGGCAGCTGTATCTTTGGTAACTATTAGTCCAAAATAATTTATTTTGTGATCATGGCTGTGCATGGAGTTTAAAATCTTTATAAACATCAAGGATAAAACTATACCTCAACAGAAAGAACCTTTTCTCTCACACCATTTCCAGCACTCTTGGTCTTTTGACCAGGATTGCCTGCCTTAAACTAGAGAGAATTTCCTTGGAGAAGCTGTCCCTGCCCCAAACTAGTGTGAAGCAGTGTGTCCCTGCCTCTGTATTCTTAGTACAAGGAGCCTTACAGGATTGTACGAATCCTGCTGTTGATGTTGTCAGTTGTTAGTGAGTTGATTCCAACCCATGGTTGTCCTATATATGCACAGAACCACTCTATAGGGTTTTCAACGCTGTAACCTTTCCCATGCAGATCACAAGCCTGTCTTCCCAGGCATTTCTGAGTGGTTTTGGACTGCTACCTTTTCAGCTCAGTAGTCACGCATTTACACCACCCAGGGACTCCCTAGTGTATCCACTGCTACTGAGTCCATTTCTGTTCCTGGTGACCTTGTACGACGGAGTAGAACTGTTCCATAGGATGTCTAGGGCTGTAAATCTTTGAGGAAGCAGACTCTCTCACCTTTCTCTGGAGCAGCTAGAAGACTGACCTTTTACTTAGCAGCCTTAGCTACTTAGCTACCGCACTACCAGGGCTCCTTACTAGTCAGTGTATACATACAAAAACTCAGTGCTGTTAAGTTAATCCCAACTCAGAGATGATTCCAACTAGAGGACAGAGCAGACCCAAACATGGTTTCCAAAGATGTACTCTTTAGGAAAACTGGTCGCTGCATCTTTTCCTACAGAAAGGATGGAGAGTTCAAATTGCCAACCTATTGGTTAGCAGCTGAGTAATTAACCATTGCACCACAAGGACTTGCTAGTCTATATCTTTGCTGAATAGTGGTCTAGGACCACGTGTGTCCTTTTTTGTTATAATGCCCTACTTGTCTCACCTGGTTTATTGCACATTGTAAATACCTAGTAAGCAAATTTGAACAATACAGTTAAACCCAGTGGCTACAACACTAGGCTCAAACATAGAAAAATTGTGAGGTTGGTGCAAGACTGGGCAGTGCTTCATTTTATTGTATATAGGATCGCTCTGAGTAGGAACCAAAAACAACAATTAAGGAAATACGACAGCAGCTTGCATTTTCAGAGCATTTACTATAAGACAGACACAGTGCTGAACCTTTTAAAAATAGTATATCAATTCATTTTCACAAAAACACTATGAAGCAGCCATCATTAAAACAAGCATCTTGTTCCTCACCAGTAATTATCAAATGTAGGATCTGAACCCAAAACTGGTACTAGTGGCTTTGGTTCTTAATCACTAAGCTATGTATATGTCTTCGTTCTAGATTATAATGAATCAAGTGCAGTGCATCTTCAGACTCCTGCACTGGCCCTTCTCTCCCTATCATTTCATTTAATAGCTGCATGTGTCTGTAATTGGAAATTATCCCACATACAATTTCCAAAGAAAGCTTACTGAAGTGCACGTTCAAACTTGTCACTATCAGCCTCTAGAACACCACTGGCTAATCACTGACTATGCTAAATTAGAACTTCAAGATTAAAACATTCTCTAGTACAACGTGAGCTCTTACTATATGAGTTGTTAGTATACATTACACACATATACATTATTATACATTATAAATGAATTCTATCCCTCATTCTGACTTCTAATTGAATTTGCATGTAAGTTGAAACACTTAGGTATGGTTCAAATGTATAACACCAGTTAGTCAGATATTTGAGTTTATATATAGTATTAGTGTACCTTTCTATGCATTACAGCTTAACTTAATAATATTTTGATGTGCACTGCAAAACCTGTTTGTTATTACAAACTACATTATGTACCTCAAAGTTTTAATTTAATGGCTTTACAGGCTTGGTTATAAGTTGTCTACATAGTTAAAAACCTTGTCATTACTGTGGTTAATTCTTCAACAGGTTCATTTTTCCCTATATATCTCTATTAAAATCTTCTGGCTTTTAAAATCTCAAATATTCCCATCTCTGATTACCCAACATTTCAAACTATGACAAGAGTTAAAAAAAAAAAA